GTATATATAATTAAAACGGAACAATAGATAAAATCTGATCAGAATGACAAAATAAACTAATTGATGCACGGTAGAGATTGCATCTTTAGACCTCCTCCGATCTTGTTCACAAATTCACGGACTAGTGCTGTCTGCAAGAATTTCGTAGATCGCGTTAAGAATGACAAAATATTCTCTGTATCTACTTGAACCGAGCCACATAGCTTGTGTTCCACTATTTGCATTCACACCTGGGCTGTGTATATTATATTGCATTGGTTTGGCTCTGTAATCATTAGTGGCCGTTTGACTAGTTTAGTCTCTGCCTTAGCTGGTCGAATGTTTCGTTTAGGTATGTACCCTAGCTGCACTGATGAGGCCTGGAAGACTGAAACGGATCCGTCTGCAGATATTAAGATTTCTTCCAGTGGATGTTTAGTTTATTTTGTCATTCTAATCGGATTTTCTCTACTGTTCGGTTTTAATTTTATATTGCTTTGCAGTGGCCGTTTGCTGTTTCTGACCTTTGATATCTTTTATATATGACAGCCATGTTTGAGTCATTATTATCTCCGCAACCACTGGTGGTAGAGAGTTAATGTTGTGGCCAAATTTTCCACCAGTTTTTAAATATTTAAAAATCTGTATCTCGTTCATCGTTCCCCAGTTTTCGTCAAACAACCTTTTTCTGTTTTAGAAAAAATCAGTTCTACAACATATTATTTTTTTTTCCCTCCGGAGCCTGACTTTAACACGTTGAGAACGGGGATCTGGGTCATGTTCCAGTCCGATCTGCTGTAATACGACCCATGTCTAGCCCGTTCTCATTTCTATTCAGTACTTGATATAGTAAACATGCCAAGGAAACAGAAGAGGCAAGGAAGAGGAATCTCAAAGAAATACATTGATGATTTTCCTGCTGATGACGATGATGGCCCTTCATTTGAAATGAAATAGAAACGAGTAGATCTGACTAGAAACGGACTGAAAGTACTGAAAATGTAGTAGAAAGGAGTAGATCTGAATAAAAACTGAGCAAGAAATTTTTAGAACTGAATGGCAATGTATCATAAACTTTAGAACGCAGTGAGACGTAATGGAATGTAGTTAAGGTCTGTCTGAGAACGGGTAGGACGGGGTGGAACGTAACAGCATCTGTGTTGGCGCCATAATCATATCTTGCCTCAACCATGGGGCTGCGAGTTCGTCCACACCTTCCACGTGTCCCCTATATTTTAGATTCCTTGATCTGCCATAGACATATAATATTAAACAATACTGCCATATAGAGATTATTATAGGATTCTGTATTGAAAATGAATCCGAAAATGATGTTTTTGCTACTCCCAATATTTGTAATTACCATTCTGTACCTAGCTTTCGTAATTATTCTAAAAATAACACTAATGATAAGTTAGTAATTTTACATTCAAACATAAGAAGTATGGCGAAATATTTCAGTAATTTTTGCACAGTTCTAGATAGCTTAAACTTAAATAACTTTATTATGGGTATCACAGAAACTTGGTTCACAGATATTTCCCCAATATCTATGTACAAACTCCCTTGTCTTGATCTTATCACTAACTCCCGGTCTGTAAAATCCGGAGGTGGAGTTGCTTTGTACATTCCGCTAATGTTTCGACACCAATATTTAAGTGAACTGAGTATTATGAAAGCTGATATTGAGGCATTATTTGTCGAAATTGTTGAAATGGGGTGGAAAAATAACTTGATTGTCGGTGTTGTCTATAGACCACCTAAAGGTAATATCTATAACTTTATGAATGAGCTCAACTCACTTCTTTCTAACCAATTACTTAAGGGTAAACATTTAATTTTAATGGGGGATTTTAATATAGACCTTTTAAAGGTTGATCAAAATTCTAAGGTTAATGAATTTATTGATTTATGTACGTCCTTCTCAGTTTTGCCTCTGATAACCAAACCCACTCGAGTAGAAAATTCATCGGCTACTCTTATTGATAATATGTTTTCAAACATCCAGCCCTTCTCTGAATCAGGAATAATTGTCACTGATGTTTCCGACCATTTTCTAGTCTTCACTGAACTCCTACGATATACTGGGCAAAAAGATGCTCCCTTAATACAAAGAAAGTTTGTATATAATGAAAGGAACCTTTCAATATTCAGAGAAAGGCTGGCTATGGGAAAATGGGATTCTGTTTTCTGTACTGAAGATATTGAAACTTCATATAACAATTTTTTGAACACGTTTAAGGCTCTCCATGATGATTTTTTTCAAATGAAAGTTGTTAAACCTCGAAAGTCTAAAAAATCTGCCCGAAAGTCTTGGATTAATAAGCATCTTCTTAAACGGATAAATAAAAAGTGTCGGTTATATTGTAAATGGAAAAAAGATGGTACCAACAGTTCTAAGATAGCATATGTTAAGTTTAAGAATAAGCTCACAATTGCCCTTCGTTATGCTAAGAAAAATTATTTTCTCAATAAGTTCAAAGAAGTAACAAATGACTGTAAGGCAACATGGAAAGTGATTAAGAACATACTAAATTCTGATATTAAAAGTAAATCGTCTGAAATTAAGGAGATAAACTTTAATGGTAAACTAATCCAGGATTTTAGAGAAATCAGTCACATTTTTAACAATTACTTTGCAAAATCTGGGACCGATTTAGCTGAGGCGATCCCATCAACTTCTATATTGCCAGGGAAGTTCATGGGTGATCCAAATCCTAGATCGATGTTTATCTTCCCAGTCACTGAGGCACAAGTATATAATATTATTCGTAAGCTCAAGTCAAAAAAGAGTCCTGTGTTCGATGACGTGTCAAATGATCTTCTGAAAAATATTTTTTTTGAAATCGCTACACCTTTAACTTACCTTTTCAACCTCTCTCTGTCGACGGGAACGGTACCTTCAGGTATGAAAATCGCAAAGGTGATTCCAGTGTACAAAAAAGGGGACCACACTGACACATCGAATTATC